TCATGAATGAATATACAAATAAAGAAATATGTTGAAAAATAAAAGTAAACAATTATTTTTATATAAACGGAATTGTGCTAAATTTGGCTAATTTTAAGCCTGACTTGTAAAACCCCCTTTATAGGTTTATTTTTACTTTATAAAATGTTTTCAGTTGGGTAAATACTTCATCATGAAGCATCCATTGTTGCTTTTTAATATGGTTTTCCCTAACCTAAAGTGTTTGTTTTGTCGTYTCACAAACCAGTTCAGGTTTACGAGCACGTGTTCCCTTCTGCATTTGCCTCCTAGCAGCGTCATCTCCAGCCTCCATATAAACGCTTTCATCATCCATAGGAATAATAGATGGTGAGGAGATGCTCCTGAACTATTCTCCACCGGCAGTGTGTGACAGCCACTTTGATCTTCCTCTGAGAGGGCGAAGCTCCTGGAGAAATTATCAATGAGAGGAGCAGCGACAGAGAAATAGAAACAGGGTGGAGTTGGGAGTGATGTGCCCTGCTGTGCGCGTACTATTAGATTGTGCTGAAAATGTTCTACTCAATTAGAATGTGAAATTTAATATTTAGAACCTCGAGCTTTTGAGTCAAAGCAAGACTGGAACAAAAAAGGGGTGAAAACGTGTTTTTTTTTTTCCTTTTAAACAAGTTAGAAAACAGAATTGGCTCCACTTCTGTGCCATCTTACTGTAGTTTTCTCCATGCTGCTGGTTCCCTGCTAACGTCTTTGCTGAGTGTTTGCAAGGGGGCAGTGCAGGACTTTTATTAGAGAGGACAAAGACCTCAGCTCAACTTCAATGAAAGCATCATTAAAGCAAAACCTTGAAGCATTAGCAGTGATCCAGCTCCACATTGGGTCAGCATGAAAGAAAACAGATCTGTTGCTGGATAAATAATAACTTAGCCTACTTTTCACTGACAAAATCCAGACTATTAAACACATTTGCTGAGCAATAGTGTAAAATGAGAACATTTGGTCATCGTAGAATGTTGAAATGATGCAACTATATTTTCTTAGAGCTAAATTAAAACCGTATTTTCCCACCTCACATTTTTTTTAAATAATTTCTATKAAATGTAACAATCAGGAAGGACCTCTATAGTCGTTTCTGTTTGTTTAAATTGTAGTGGAAAACAATGATAGTGACAAAAAAAGTGCAAATGTTACATTATTGCCAAACTTTCTTGCAAAACTCAAAAACACATTCCAACAAGGATATAGCAATGCATTATTTTTATTGCAGTTTTAGTTAAGCAACTTAAAGGTCAAATAATATCCAGAGATGTGTCCATATACCTCAACAGCAATAAAACTACTAACTCTAGAGAGAAAAAAAATAGTAAGGAGCAAATTTGAGAGTTAAAAAGCAATCTAACACCTTCTGTAAAACTTGTGAAAAAAACCCAAGATGGCAAATCTGCATATGAAGTATTGCAGCTAATGAAGATATATTAGCCCACAGAAATGTTTTTATTGGTATAGGGAGGGGGGGTGGATTTTTTTCCATAAGGAGATCAGAGTTGGGGCTGTCTTCAGAGCCGCTCTTTAGTCCTGATCTCATCTGTTTGGCATGAAGGGGGAGCTGTGGCTCCTCCTGTCTGACCAAGGTTACAGGCTCCGGGGCTTCGCCGAGCACCATTTTCTCACACTTTCTGGCTGCGCTGTGCCACATTGATTTAAATGTATCTGTTGAGGGGAAAATAATCAATGCAAATTCCCTGGCAGTGAAGCCAACAAATAAGACATGTCTGATTCATCAGGCGGACATTGCTATAAAGAGCACCTTTTTCTCCTTTGTCCCATTTCTGCCTCCCTCCTCCTCCTGCTTCTCTGTTTTTTTCCTCTCGATCTCTCCTCTTGCTCACCTCTGGGCCACTTMTTTTGCTCCCTTCACCTTTCTGTACCCCCCGAAAAATCTTAGTCTGAATTTGTGGAGGAAGCTTAAAGATCTATACTTATGGGATTTTATCATAGGCACCAAATTAAGGTAGGTTCAAACATAATTACTAGACTTTAGAAATGGAAATTATGTTTCCTTTTAATTATATCTGATCTGTTTTTGATTTTTTTGTTAATGCATAAATGATTTTAAAAGAAATTTAAAATTTTGTTGAATTATTTGTTAGAGTTTAAATGTAAAATCCGAAAAAAAAAAATTCTGTTTGTTTCACTCATCTGTGAGAGTTGYAGGTTTTAACTGCATCACTAGAAAAGTGAGTCAATATGTTGAGCAGGAAGAAAAGTTTCACCTGACACCTAACCTTAACATTTTGTTTTGCTCCATGCCTGAACTCGGTCAAACATTTCTGGCTTCTAACAAGGGCAGAGTGTAGTCTGTGTATGTAAATTCACTACATGTGTGAGAGAAATAAAAAAAAAGGCAGGGGGGCTATTTGGGAAAATTCTTGTGTGATGAAAGCGAAGGAATATCTCCCCACCACACCAAAAAAGAAAAAAAAAATGATTAATGTGGTGTTCAGGTACACAGAAGATTGAGTGATCCTGTCATCGTGCCATATGGTACCAATCTTTTTTCCAGCCAGCGTAAGGCAAACAGTGGAGGAGCTTTTATGACTGTGCCTCCAACAACGCTTTTCAAAATGAAAAAAAAAAGTGAATTTAAAATTGTGCTAAATTGTAAAGAAAAAATGTTTTAAAAAAACAACTACAACATTTTAAAAAATCTGATCCAGCTGCCGTGGATAAAAATTGCAAAAGCAGTTTTAATATTACAATTGATTATTTAAAAAAGCAACTTATTTTAAGAAAATATTTAGTTTTTAAAAAAGCCAGAGGAGAGAGAAAAATTTAGTTTAAATCTGGAAAGCCTGTCAGATCAGGCTGTAATGTGACATGGATTATTCTCACTTCTCCACCTAATCTTTTCTCAAATATAGATTTTTATTCTTAAGTGAAAACACTTATTGCCCTGAACACCAAACGAACAAAAGATTTAAACTATATTTATTTAAACTCACGTGACCAATGAAGCTGCATTTGCTTCATTTTTAAAACCTGTTTTAAACGAGCATCTCTGTGTTTAATATTATTTTGTGAGACAAGACTGAACTGTCACTTGGCAGCCTGTGCAGCGTTTGACATTTCCTGACGCTCTGAGACGTGTGCAGAGTGAATCATGTGACCTGAATATTCTCCTTCCGACGCAGCTCAAACACGACTGTCATCTCCCAAATCAGGTCTCGATTCATACGGAGCAATACGGGGCTCTCTTTTGAAAAATGCAGATGGCCATTGGCAGAGGGTGGGGGGTGAGGGGGGTGGGGGGGGACAGGTTAGGGAGCTGGACTCCTACCACTTTTCTTTTTCACTACCTTGTTATTTGTCGCCTCACCCCTGCAGGGCATGCTGACAGGAACTGATAAACCTCTTTATGGGCTGAACTGAATTGGCTCCTATTATCCAAGGTGTGGAACTGCTCAATGGTGGAAATAAAAGACTTTATCCACTGCCCATCTGCCCACCAGTCTTCCTCTCCTAGTCTCTGTCTCTGTCTCTCTCTCTCTGCCCACTTGTAAAGGTTTCCACGAAGCTGTGTCCAATTTGTGAATGCAATAAATGTACACAGCAAAGTCGACAAAACAACGCAAAAGTGTTTTTTGCAGAGAATTATAGGTCTGTTGTCACATGCCTCACTTGACATCTGTCCTAATAGCTGCAGCTTTTACCATGAAAAGCTATTTGCAGACATAAACAGTATTTTATTATATGGGTGTAGCCACTGTTGTTCAATGCAAGTGAACAACTAGACAAGCAAAAGAGGTTTTCTTTTAAGGATTTATCGCCAAATGTATTAGGACTGACTTACGATCATGGAGAGATTGAATTTTTTGAACTTATTTTGCCTTTTGGCTCCATTAAATACCTGTTTGCTTTTGCACAGACAACACAACTTACTGCTGCCTTTCTTGGCCAGGACTCTCCTGAAAAAGAAGTTTTTAATGCCAATGGTGTTTTTTCATCATAAAATAAAGGTTTTTTAACACTGATAATAATAATAATAAGAATGTTGTCTGACCAGTTAGACAAACAGTTCATTTCAGGATTTTTTTAAACATTTTGGGTCTGGGAGCCCTTGCAAGGATGAAAAAAATATCCAGGGACCCCCTCCTAAACCCCATACTGTTTATAACAATAATTTACCATCATTTTACCCCTAAATGCCATGGTAATATTAATTTTTGTTTGGTTTAGTATATTTGTTTTACTTTTGCAAAACCAAATTAACAATTTCTTGACATTTTTTGAGGACCCCCAACACATGGCTTGTGTACCCCTGGGGTCCTGGGACCCCAGTTTGAGAACCTCTGATTTAGTTAATGCTTTTTAAATACGCTCCTAAATAAACTGAGTTGACCATTTTCATTAGAAATGTCGAAAAAGGAAACCCAAAGCAACACACAKTACATAATGTGTACATTTTTGTGCATTTTCCATTTGTGTTAAAATGTCACAAATGTGACATATTGCGTTATAATTACTTGTGGCTCATTTAGCTTCATTATAAACAGAACAAGACACCCCCTGAACATGCCAATGAGAGGCTGCGGAAAAGTTTAAATTACAGCAGAACAGTTGGATTATATTAAATTTTATTAGGCTGTTGTCAGTAATAAAGTGGTTTGCGAGCCTAAACAAACAAGTGAGGAGTAGACATTAAAAAAACACATCTCCCCAGAGTGTGCAGATCCTGGTTAGTTTGATGAATTTGTGCTACTTTTTTTCCTGTTTAAGTAAAAAAAGGCATGATGCTTTGCCCACCTATCAGTGTGGCTCCACAAAGAGGAGGTATGAAGTAAAACCATGTGTTATAATTTATTTATCAGGAAACAGGAGGATTGAACTGCCATTTTAGCTATTTCTTGGTGTATTAGTGCAATCCTGTTGTCTTATCTACTTTTCTGGCACTCCCTTTTTCCTTTCTRTTTTTCTCTTTACTTGATATGGAAATTGGCTTCTTTTTTTCACCCAAATACATCTCCCTTTATCACATTTGAACAAACACAGTTTAGAAAAACACATACACCTTTTAATCTCAGGTGTGACAGCCACAGAGAAAAGTTAAAATTATTGCTTATTAAATTCTGTTATATTTAACAGCTATCTGCGGTGAGGTAAGAGCACGCATTTGGCATACAAATGTTTTCTAAACCGAGACAATTAATGTCCTCTGAAGGTGCCTTTTGTTTCATGCACATTATTTAACTATTGCTGCCATTTATTAAAATATTTTGCAAGTTTCTTATCATGCCACGTGCTAACTCTGAACTTCTACACATTTTTATGTCAGCTGAAGTTTAGTCAGGACAGTTAATGATGTGTTTTTAGCAAACATAGATGTTGCAGAATGGGTTTTTTGTTTGTTTTTACAGGAAAACGGTTATAGTTGAAATAAATGTAATTAAAACAATTTTGTAATTGAATAAAACAAAACTTGCTTGCTTTTTAGGTCTTTTTTTTGTTTTACCATTTCATCAATTTATGTGTGATAAAAGCACCACAAATTACTAAAAAAGGAAAATTGGCACTTAGATCTGAGAAAATTCTGAAAAAGTGTCCCAATATGACTGGTGTATAAATATTTCAATATGCAACATAGCAATAAAAATGTTACAATATAAACAAACGAAACCATTCATTTTGAAACATATTCTGAGCAAAATGCAACGTTAACTGAGTGAAATTTAAAAACAAAATTGAAAGTACTGTTGAACTTATTCGTTACAAACGTTAAAATGTTATTTTGAAGTTTGTCAGTTGGTGTTGTTAGGAGTTTAGTCATTTTTTTAAATATATGTGATTTGAAAATGCTGGTACTCACTCAATGTAAACAAACCACTTATCTATTTACTTTATTTAACAAATCTTAAATGCACTTCTTTATTTCAAATGATTCTTTTGTGAACATCACCACTGCTGACCCATTTTTGGTCACTTCACTGTTTCCAGTAGGTAAACAAAGCATGTGATCGTTGGTAACTGTTCCCAAATTCTGCTTAAATATTTTTGCTTGAATAACATGTTAAAAAACAAATAAAAAAGTGTTCTGATTATTTTTACTTGGAAAAATAATGTTTGACCTGTCTTCATGACGTCTCGGATTATCTTTAATCTAAGTTGCAAGAATTATTTTAGACTGATGCACATTACATCATGATTTTTCACRCTGTGAGGAACCAAACAAAGTTGGATTGGTGAACCTGTAATTTCCCACCAAAGATAATCCAGCAAAATAAAGTCAAATTAAACACATTTCAAACTGACTGTTCCAKTTTATTTTAACTGTAAAAATTGTGTAATAATAAAAATATAAATGATTTAATGTGTGCCATTCATTGACAGTTCATAACTTGCCATGAGCCTTTTTTGTGTTCAAATTAACTGCAGCATTTTAAGAAGCGCATTATTTGGCATCTTCATTTCGCAAAATAGCTCTCAGCCTCTGTTCAGGCCTGATACACAAGGCTTCCTTGTAAAATGTTTACTTGGTGAATGTCACTTTGACTGGGGTGGCAAAGAAAAAGTCTGGGTAAATGTCAGATTGTTCAAGGTGGATGGAACCCGTTACACTCACTTAATATTAGTGTCACTTGACTAGTTTAAGAAAAACAGATGACAGGAACCCAAATCCTTGAGAGGAGAGGGATCGGCTGTGTGACAGGGAATCTCTCCCCCAAGCCATGTGTATAATGACTCTGTTTGCATGGGGAATGGGACAAATAGAGCCAAAGATGGATGTTCAGTTTACTGTAGCGTTATCCGTGGAGTTTTTTTTTTTTTTTGGACTGCTTTGAGCAAGTTATTAAAACCATCTGTTTGGGCCTACGGGCCGAGGCTGATTAATATAGCCATTGAGAATGTAAAGTCACAGGGGCTGACAACAATATTTCCTAAATTAGTTGATGGATTTTATGTCTCACTCTAACCTGTGTAATGTTTTTTTATTGCACTTCAGAAGCACTGAAGAGA